TCAGCGTGCTGTATTCAGGTCAGGTGACAAGGCTACTTTCACTTTTGGCGCTTTTCCACTGCGTGGTACGACTCGGCTCAGTATGGCACGCCATGGTTCGGATCGGCTCGGTTTGCGTTTCCACTGCAGTTCAGTACCGCTTTAGAGTGGGCGGGTGAACCGTACTGAGCCGTGCCGTACCATGCAGTGGAAAAGCGCCATTTGAAAAGACGTGCTAGCTGAGAGGAGTTTAGTCAAAGCTGACAAAAAGTGATTGAGGATGGATAATTTCGACGAACTTGATAAACCTGTGATATCCGCTTCAGTGCAAAAAAGGAAAATAAAAGCTGAAATGTTTTTACGGAAGCTTGCAAAAGCAGCACGTTACAATAATGAGGGAAACACTCTGTGTATTGCGTGTAATCACATCCATACAGTTTATGATCACAACAACAACAACGTTTGTCAGGCATCTACATTGTCATCTGAGGAGATTACAAAGATTAAACTTTTTTTAGTTTTTTAAACTCTAAAACATGAAATGTGCAGTTATCTGCTTTTGCTATAAAACTAACTTTTAATATGTAAAAAAAAAAAAACATACTTTCAATGAACTTTAATTTATTAAATTACCTGTATTTGTTTAAGTTATTATTACTTAAGCAAAACAACCCAACTGCAGTTTGGTTGATATTACTTGGAATGCGCAATTTAAAAAAATGTGATTTCTGAAAAAAATAAAATATATCAGTTATCGTTTTTTTGCAAACGAACTCTTCATATATTGTATATATTTTAAAAAAATCCCCCCAAATTAATAATATAGCTTTAAAAAAACATTTTGCCAGAAAACACATGAATATATAATTTTTAAAAATAGTTAAATAGTAAAAAGAAATTTTTTTTTTTTAATTAAATATTAAAAAAAAAAAACATACTTTCAATGAACTTTAATTTATTAAATTACCTGTATTTGTTTAAGTTATTATTACTTAAGCAAAACAACCCAACTGCAGTTTGGTTGATATTACTTGGAATGCGCAATTTAAAAAAATGTGATTTCTGAAAAAAATAAAATATATCAGTTATCGTTTTTTTGCAAACGAACTCTTCATATATTGTATATATTTAAAAAAAATCCCCCCAAATTAATAATATTGCTTTAAAAAAACATTTTGCCAGAAAACACATGAATATATAATTTTTAAAAATAGTTAAATAGTAAAAAGAATTTTTTTTTTTTATTAAATATTATTTTTTTTAATATAAAAATAATTTTAAAAAATGGAATAAAATTAAAAAAAAAAAAAAACATACAATTAATGATATTGCATAAATGTATTTTGCCAGAAAATACATGAATATATTATAAAATATTCTTTTATTTTAAATAATTATTAAATAATGGTATTTTAAAACATTTCCTTGAAATTAACATTGCTTTAGTTTATTTTGCCAGGAAATACATGAATATATCATGAAAGATAATCTTAAAATAAAAATAAATAAATAAATAAACAAAAATAATAATAATAAAACATTTTTAAAAATGGTATTTTTAAAAATATATATATTTTGCCAGAAAATACATGAATATATCAGATATATTATAGATTATGATAGATTCATACATTTTAAATAAGTATTAAATAATAATTTCAAACAATGGTGCTTAAAAAAAGCCACCTGTCACGGTCTCGTCTGGATGCAGCTCTCAGTCCTCCGCTCCTCCTCTCACGCTCTCGGTCTCGGTTCCTCAGCCGCTGCATAAGATCTGCAAAGACACAGAAAACATGAGCATCACTTTCAGACAAAAATTATCCTGGAAAAATATAAAAACTATTTAGGAATTAGAATTTTTAGAAGATGAAAAAACATCAAATTATGATTTAAAAAATTATTAAAAAACCCCCCAGCAAAATAGCAAAAAGAGCTAAAAATAAAAAGAAATGGTCACATACTGCTAGCCTGCATTCCCTTGCTAACACTCTGTACGCAGTCCAGATTGGGCAGCTTGTCATTGGAGAGGAAGGCCTGTGCGATTGCCGTGTAAAAGCTCCGTGCCACTCCGCTGCCCTCTCCAGGTTCATCCTTGAAAGTCACTTTCACGCGGTGCACCGCCATAGGTGTAGTGGTGCAGCGGCGGCCGAAGTGAGCGTTGATCTGGCGCATGGTCTGCTGGATGAGCTGCTCTCGGTCGCGATCCACCTCCAGGGCCAGATCACGTGACTGCAGGTTTCTCAGCTTCTCCATCTCACGCCGGAACTTGGACTCCTTCACCTCGAAACCACCCAGTTCGGTCAGGATCTGCACCGTTCAGAGTAGAGGTTTATCACTCGTAGTGCAACGGATCACAAAACTCACGGTTCGGATCATACTATGTGTTCCGAGTCATGGATCAGATCATTTTTCAGATCAGCAAAAAAATTAAATAAAAAAGTTTGCTTTTCATTTATTAATAAAAGCGTACTTTAAGTACTTCTATACTCAGCAGAAACTATTAGCTTAACTAATAAAGATAGTGATAAAACGAGAACAATTACACAAACTACAAGCATAGATGAATACAACAAAGTTACAAAAGAAGTCAGTAATAGTAGTATTCAGGTGCAGAAATGTAATAATTAAGTGTAAAACAACACAATGCTTAATACAGATTAATTTTTGTTAAAGCGGTGGTGTTTGATTAGCAGAGAGAAACAGGTGTTTATAGGCTGCTGTCTCTTTAAGACCAAATGCACAGACCTAATACTGACACACATCCGGCTTCTTTCTGAGCCGTTTACATTCACTTAAGACATTACCAACTGTGTTTACCAGAATACTTGCAAGCAAGTCCGATTCGACTTCTCTTTCAATGGTCTGAAACTGCTTAAATGTGTAAATTGGCAAGACAAAACGCATGCAAATGATAACCTTTCACTCTATGAGTTAATCTGTGAATCACATGCGTGTCGAACTGTGGGGGGCATGGTCTGTACGGATCATCTACGATCCCTATTTATCACTGGAAATAAAATGCAGATAAAGTGCTTACTCTCAAAAGAAACTGCAAAAATGAGCTGTACTCACAGATCCCGGTTCTGCTCCCACGTCTTCCATGAAGACACGGCCGAACAGCTCCAGAGAAAGCCGCCAGCGGCCCAGCAGCATGTCGTGAGAGATCACCATCCCCATAAAGCTACAGTGTGGACTGGAGCACACAAACAAGAAATGTCACTAACAAAGTCATTCGCAGCTGTTTTATTGAATCTGTGAGTGTGTGGACTTACATAAATGTGGGAAGCGGCGGGCCGTCGCTCTCTGTCAAACCAATCTCTGCGAGAAGGCTGCTCTTTAACTGGGCCGCCAGATCGTGAGGCGAAGGGCCTGGTTTGGATGCATCCATATCCTGCTGCGCAGCCGGCTGCCCCTCACCACCCCTCTGCCGAGACTCCATACTCATCACGTTCTTCATGTTCGCCGAATACGACATCTTTGTGGGTAGAATCTGGGATGAGAATTACCCGCAGTAAAATATTGTAAAAAATAGTGTTTTATTGCTCACTGTTGTTGAGAACTGCCCAAAGAAGCATTTCTGACTGCACTGAGAACTTACTTTTATATAAAGATTTATTTAAAACAAAATAATAAAAATAACTACTTTTATTTAAAATAAAACTTTAAAAAAAAAATTATTAAAAAAGAATAAAAACAAAACTAAAATAAATTAAATTGAATAAGATAAAACTGAAATGAAAATAAAATTAAAACTAAGAACAACTAAAACCCAATTAAGAGTAATGCAAAAAAATTAATTAACAAAAAATATAATAATAAAAACTGATTATATCAAATATTGAAAATTATAACTAAAAAATACTAAGTAAACAACAAATATATATGTTTTTTGCTTTTTTTTTTTTTTTTTTATAAAGGTGAACTTAGCTTGCGATGGCACTTAAAATTATTATTTGTCTGACAAAATGTATCCCAAAAAAATTAATTAACTACATTAGCTTGAACATGTATTTTTTACATTTACTTAAAATCACTACCCTCTGGCCCTCTTCGTGCAGGTCAAAAGTGACCGAAGCAGTGTGTGTCTGTCTCTCTGTGTGTGTGTGTAAAAGAAACTCTTTTGGATTTAATTTATTCAATAAAATCTGTCTTACTCTGATGCGGTCTTACCAGTTCATTTGTGTGTGTGTGTGAGAGAGAGAGAGAGAGAGAGAGAGAGAGGGAGAGAGAGAGAGAGAGAGAGAGAGAGGGGAGAGGGGAGAGAGAGAGAGAGAGAGAAAGACCTTTGTTGTTGTTTTTTCCATTTATTGATTTTATTTCACATTCTCACAATGTGCTCTGTTGCAGTCTTACCAGTTAATCTCGGTGTGTGTGTGTGAGAGAGAGAGAGAGAGAGCCCCTTTTGTATTTTTTCCATTTATTGATTGGTGTCTATTTTGCACTCCTGATATTCTAGGAGAAAGAGAGAGAGAGAGAGAGAGGAGAGAGAGGAGAGAGAGAGAGAGAGAGAGAAAGACCTTTGTTGTTGTTTTTTCCATTTATTGATTTTATTTCACATTCTCACAATGTGCTCTGTTGCAGTCTTACCAGTTAATCTCGGTGTGTGTGTGTGAGAGAGAGAGAGAGAGAGCCCCTTTTGTATTTTTTCCATTTATTGATTGGTGTCTATTTTGCACTCCTGATATTCTAGTCACCCCTTGATTTCTGCACACTTTTTTTCTGACCAGTGGCTGATTTGTAGTTTGTACCACCAAAAGATTCACTGAGTTTTCACATTTTTTTCGTATTTCCCATTCATTTCCTATGTCGGTAATTTTTGACCGTGAAGAAGTCAAGTGTGACTTTTTTTTTTTTGACTCTTTAACATATCCGAATCATGTCCATGATTTTTTTTTGTGTGTTCATATTGCTAATGTGACAAAAGTCACAAAGCGTCATCTCATTCCGATGAAGCTAAGATTTAAAAAAAATTCAAAATATAAACTTTTTCGAAGAGGGCCAGAGGATTAAAAATGAAAAAGGCACCAAAAATATGTAAGCTATGTTAACCTGCAAGCAATTCATGTCCACAGTCAGATCCGTCAGGCCTTTACTGGCCATGTACGAAGACGAATACAGACCCTGACTTGGTCGTCCAAACAAGTCCTCTTTTCTGGCATTGGGCTGTGAGATGAAGACAAACAGCAGTGTTAAAGAGATTCAACCATCTGGAATAACCTCTAATAGAGGACATGACAGCGCAGGTAAAGGGTATCTCTGACCTGCAGGAGATGCGGCTGGTCAGCCAGAGGAATGGCCTCGGCGAGGGGCACATCGAAAGGGTTGGGAGGGATGCATCCCAGGAAGGTCATTGAGTCAGAGCGGCGGAAAAACGGATGGTGTTGTCCAGTCTCAGCAGGGACCGACTCTTCGTCCTTGTCCTGCAGGGTGGAGCCTGTGGAGTCCAGAACAACAAAGCGTTTTGATTGGACAGCAGGAAAGCAGCTCTGCAAACTGCAGACACCAGAGCCATGCTGCTATGCGTCACCATCTGAACCTGTGAGTTTCACTTCAGCTTGTGAGGCTCGTGCACAGTGTGTAACTGAAACGACTCTTAAAACAAATAAAAATACTCACTCTGATTGGTGTCCTCATCGTTCTCGTGCTCAGAGTCCTCATTGTCCAGGCCGAGCTCCAGCAGCTCACGATTCCTGAAATAAGAAGAAAAAAAGTATTTAGCAATCTCACAACAGAGATAAAAAGACAGCTCTGGGCAATAATTGCTATTTTAGTATCACTGAGATACTCAGTTTTTATTGTTTTTATTTTTATAAAATAGAAAATAAATATTAAATGAAAAGAAAACACTACTAAAATTACTAAAACGGAAATAAAATCAAAGCTAGAGAAAAACTTTTTTCAAAAGCACAAAAATAAAACAAACAAAAATTCTTAAAATAAAAGCAAATTCAAAATATTTAAAATACAATAATATTTGGGATGCACGATATTGGATTTTTACCGATATCCGATAATTTTCAACTCATTTTGGCAGATAGCCGATGCCGATATATAAATATTTTTAATTTTGGTTAGTTTTAATCAAGAACTTATTTGTTAGAATTAAATAAACAATAATAAAGTTATTTTATAATGACAGTATATTGATTAATTTAATTAATTTATGCATTTAGCAGACGCTTTTATCCAAAGAGACTTAGTGCATACATTTTTTACCAGTATGTGTGTTCCCTGGGAATCGAACCCACGACCATTTGTGCTGCTAACGCAATGCTCTACCACTGAGCCACAGAAACCTTGAAGATTGGAAAACAATTGCAAATGATGCTTCCCCCCCGAAAGACGCAGTGGTAACCATAACATTTTATTTTATGATTTAACATTTGTAAATGGTCTAAAGCAAAAGAGTTGTAAAAATTCTGAAAATCTTTTAGAGCTTATCATTTGTTTAAAAAATAACATTACATATTAATGAATAAATCAGTATATATTTTTTTGTTCATGTAAGCTATTATTTCTGACCTTTAAATCAAAACATACTCATGATTTTATGGCATCAATTACTGCTTTATTTAATCAGAAACACAGTCTAAATATTATTTGTGTATTTTACTTTCATTTTATTAGAAGTAGGCCAACAGCGCCCCCTACGGAATTAAAACTCCTTACTAAGCGGGCTTTAGGACCCGGGGGAGGCTGCCGCTGCACGTGCTATTACTGTTTACTCTATCATACACCGAATGCATCATTCTGTACGTGCTTTCTCAGTTTAAATGCAGCAATCCAAAACAGTGAATCTAATCACTATTCAGGCAAAACTTTGCTTCAAGAATGAGTCACACTGCTGACGTGATCTAATCGCTAGCACACCCTGAGCACATGTGAGTTAATGTATTCCTCTTATCGGCAAGACATATCGGTATACTTTTTCACCGATGTCAATATTTACATTTAAAGCCATTATCGGTCAATTCCGATATTGGCCCGATAATCTCGTGCATCCCTAAATAATATTAAAATATATTCAATATTATATATAAAATAAACTAAAATATCGCTGACAAATATAAACAAAAAGGTTTAAAAAAATCTTTAAGACATTAACTATCCACACTAAAGGTAACCACTAAAATCATGCTTTTAAGTGCTAATATGTTCAGTTTACCTCTTCCTGTCAATCTGAGTGGTGTCGAGTGTTGTCTGCAGATTCATGGCTTTAATCCAGTAGATGAGGGCCTGGAAGACGTACGCCACATGTTTGAGCGAACACACATCCAGCACAGGCAAAACGTCCGAATGCTCATCATTATGGGAACGCATCAAAGACAGAGCGTAGTTCAGGAAGTCTCCTCGAGCCGACATCATCCCCTGACGAGCCGTCAAAAGTGTTGCGGCGCGTCTGGAACACAGAGAATGAAATTATTTTATAACAGTAGAGTGCTGCAGGAATGACGTGTTTTTGTAGGCCAAAACCCGAAAAAGAGTTAGCTTCTTAGCACTTCCAGTTAAATCGTCCTAAAGTCATTGGGATTTTTTGAATGGGTTTTTGGTTAAAAGCCTGAAATAAGATCTGTGGTGAACACAATCTCAAGATATTACACATTTTATTCAACAACAAAATACTTCACACAAAAATAAAAATCCTAAATAAAGCAAAATAAAAAAGAAATCTAAAAAAAAAAACTTTAATAAAAAAGGAATAACAAAAAACTGAAACTAAATAAAACTAAAACAAAAATTAAACCAAATAAGACAAAAAAAGTGAAAACTAAAAATAAACCAAATAAAGCTGAAACTTAAAAAATTAACTAAAAATTTAAATAAAAAAAGAATTTTTTTTTTTCAATGTCTGCGGGTGTTAAGTGGCTAAATGGCACTATAGAGGTTGTCAAGGACATTAAATGTGTTAATTGGTTCATTTGTAAAGTTTATCATGAACAAAACATGCAAGAATCAAACTCAAGAGTTTATTTTCTGCAATATTCCAACAGCCAATGGAAAATTCCTAATGGGTTTTTGTTGAGGGAACCACAGAAATTAGAAAATGGAGGGGGGAATTTTAATCAATAATTTGAACTGCTCGTGCTCGGGGATCTTACCTTCGACCTTCAAGGGTGCGGAGACTGGCCTCCTCTCGCGCAGTCATGCGCTCCCTGCGGCCTGTGTGCTGTGAAGCGTGCAGTGGGTGGCTCGGGTGACCAGGATCCCCGGCTGATGACAAAGCGGAGCCGTAACGCAGCTGCGCTTCAGTGGAATCCATGATGGACACCATCCAGTTCCAGGTGGGGATTAACTTATCCTCCACAAAGTTCTGCAAAACCGACACCAGAGGTCACTGAATTTTCCATCATTTACGATTTTTTTTTTTAGAAAAATCTAAAGGATGTCCGTCTCTTTGACATTACACTGAGGGTGATCTATTGTAATTTATAACTGTAATTACCACCCCTGTCCAGTTGGTGGCGAGAGCGCTCCAGTGTGGCAACAGAGCGCGGGATCAGCAGCTCCAGAATTGATCAGCATTGATCTCTGACTCTCTCTCTCTGTGTGTCTGTGTCTGTGTGTGTGTGTGCATTAATTAAAGCAGCGCATTAATATGGAACAGTGATTAAACTGACTTGGAACTACCTGTGCATTAAACTGTTTTAATGCATACCTGCCAGCCAATCAGAATCCAGTATTTAGACAGACCAAGGTATAATTTGCATTTATTACAGTCTGATTCTGTTTGGGTAAAGACCAAACTGCTCACCTGCAGATTGACGGCGTCCTGATAGGTGAGTTTGACGGCAGCGGGGTACTGCGAGTAGACCAGGTGGTTGTATTTGGGTATGAGGCTCATGAGGTCGGAGATCTGCCGGATGACGATGCTGTAGGCTCGAGCCAGGCTGCTGGCAGATGTCAGGTAGCTGCTGGAGTTACTGGCCTCCAGGGCTGCGGCAGCGGCGGCTGCGCTCGTGCTGATGGCGCTGCTCCGTCGCAGGTTTGAAGGATCGATGTAGATGAGGCCCGTGGAGCTCGCTGGAGGAGACATCACAATTATTGCCACTGATAATATTTTCCAGAATAGAAGTTCTGTTTTTATCAACTGAAGCATGCTGTAAATTATGGTGCATTCAAGTCCACCTGGGAAGTTTTGTATTTATGAGTTTTGAAGGTGGCAATGTACCTTTTCAACAAAAAAAATCGGTAAAATTTTAAGTCAAAGAAAGAAAGAAAGGAAGTGAAAAAAATATCAGTGTCACCACTGTCAATGTTAACTAAAACTACCTTAAATTAACTTTTCTTAAAATAATATAAAACTGAACAAATAAAATATGGCAATTAAAATTTTTGGGTGAACTATCCCTTTAAATTTAAGATGAAGTACTAAATTACAAAAACTAAAAATATTAAAATTACAAGTAAAAAAAAAAAAAAAAAAAAAAAAAAAAAAAAAAAAAACTTACTAAAATGAAAAAAACTGAAAATACACAAACACTTTATCATATGACATAATACTAAAATAACACTGTAAAACATCAAAAGGATGAAAACTAGACTTCTTTAATCACTTTGGTTGGAGCTAGGGGTGGGCGATATGGGAAAAATATTTCACGATTTAAAAACATTTTTTTTTAGAAATATCATGATTCACAATTTGATCTTTTTACTTTCATTTTAGACATAACCAACTGAGTCTATATGTAAACCTTGTGTGTTTTGACAGTATTAGCGCTAAAGATAACTTAGTTCAGTAATCAGGCGCCGTTTGACAGGCTTTTTAGTGCGCGCGCTTCGGGTGTACATGCTCAGAAAAGGCGCACGTCAGACCAGTGCGTGAATGAAATGTTTAACCGGCAATGCTTTAAAGCACATGCAAATAATGTACTTTTGGGATTGCAAATAAGTGCAGTGTCCTGTGAGAGTAACTCTACCGCTGAGTTAACACTAAATGTATGTGGTGTTGTACAGTATATTGAGACTGAGGCGCCAGAACTGTAACTGATAGAATATGCGCTGCAGGATGATACTACGATATTTCTTCAAAAGCAGATCATTGAGACATTTTTATTGTCCACAATCAAAAATAGTCATATCGCACACCCAGGGCTCCAGACTAACATTTGAGAGCAGTGGCGCCAGCGCCACTAAGTTCTATAGATGGTGGCGCCAGGAGCAGATTTGGTAGCTCTGGGGGTGGTGTGCGGGAGTATTAAAATATAGATAATTTAATCATAAAATTACTATTGTTTTGCATTAATAAGTGCATAATAAGTGCATATTTCTACCACAACACCATGGTTACAGCCAGCGTTACCCAGAGCCTTGAGAAAGTGTGAGAAAACGGCTCTGGCGTTACCGCTTCTGGTTTCCTGACGCATGTCAGCGCTGTTTATAACAGAGATTTCTGTGCAGAATTTGAATGATCCTCACTAGATCACGCAGCAACCTTATCATTGTGCGGCGAATTGAAATGCTTCTCACTGGATCTCGCAGCACTGTTGCATCTGTGCAGTAATAGAGTCGCGAAATCAACTGCGCAGCTGAAACGTAGCGCGGTTTAGTTTCGCTTTCGTTTGCCGTTTCTCAAATATAACAGAAATGGCAGCGCTTATGAGGTGGACAACGCAGTGGTCACGCCAGTGCAACCGCTCTCAAAAAATTAGTCACACCGGCAGGAAAAATGGTCGCTAAATTCACGAAAAATTCAGTAAGATTTTTTAACTCTACTTCTACAATATAATATATGAATGAATGCACATCAGGTGTGTTTTTATTTTTTTATTCAATTTACTAATATAACTAACTATTATAAATAAAACGGTATATATCCTGTCATAATTGTACAGAACGATCATATTCTGTACATGCAACTTAGCTAGACTTATAGTAAAAAAAAAAAAAAAAAATTCAATCAAATTCACCATCAATACAGAAGCTGTATTTACTACATCCACCATGTTTTCTCACTGACTCGCCACCAACTCGAAAGTTTCCCACTTGTAAAAGCTACTTTGTGGTGGCGTTCATGTGCCTTCAACTCATAAAAACAATCTTTCTGACATGATTTATATTCCAAAGCGACAATACAATGCAATTATCATCAAGCATGCAAAACGTGTGGAAAAAGCACACGCATTTGGATTTATGCTGAATGAGAGGTAATTTGTTTGTATAAAGTGTTTCCCCACATGCCAGCAGTTTTAGTTTAATTGAAAATAAATTCACTTAGGTTGAGAGTATTTTATAATAAATAATGTCTGTATCGAATGCCTCTATAATTTATGTTTGTTTTATATGAATTTGTTTTGTGAATATCATTAAATTTAAATGTTTTGTTGTGGAGTGAGGGCAACTAAAATGCATGGTCAGTGTTTATAACGTTTGTGAGCGTTTGATTCTATTTACCGGAATTTTACATAATTTCTGAATGCAATCTTAAAATGTTGGCATGTACACTAGAGCCGCGTTTCCACCGAAATTACCCAGTGCTTTTTCCCCCCAGACCTGTTGCTTTCTGCGTTTCCATCGCGGTCTAAAGTACCGTGAAGATTAGGCAAATAGTCTGGTGACGTAGGTCTGCGCGTGTTTCTCAATACAAAGTACGCAAATTTCTGACTTATATCCTCGGTAGTTCGGCCTTTGCGAGTTCGACTCAGGAGTGTGATCTCCCGTGGACGGGACGATGAAAGTCCGGTAATTCTGCAAACAGCAGCGTACTTGATAACATCAGTCAGCTCGCCTTGGCTACTGCAATTTTACTCACTGTATATTTAAAATAAGACGAAATATGATATCAAATACCACTGCCTCCTTTCGTTTTCATTTAAACATTAATAGCCGCAGAAATGTAGTTCAGGGAAATGTGTAGGCATATAGCCTACATTACAAAACAAAATAATATATCAAACAGTATTGCCTCTTTTAATTTTAATTTTAACATTAATAGATTAATTAAATAAAGACCAAAGATTACCTGTTAGATTTACCCAAAACAAATTATATTTTATGTTTAACCACTTAAGAGACATCAGAGCCAGCGGCAAATGTCAGAAGGACTAGCCGAGTCGAGGCTGCTCTAGTCTGGAAACATGAGCACTGAGTCAGCTGATCGTCTCCGAAATCGGCAAAACACATTTTTAAATAGGCACTGTCTTTATAAATAAACCGCAGATTTGAGTTTTAAACAACTACATTCACGCCTGAAATACTTTTAAAACTACATTTCATGACACAATAACAGTAATATTTTGAAAATTATCCGAATTAAATGGTGGTTGAAATCACAATGCTGCGTGAACTCAACCAATCAGCATGTTTAGCACCCAAGTCCTGCCCCAGAAAGTTCCGGACCTTTGAAAAAGTACTACCTCGCGAGCAGGGACTTTCTGAGGAGCAGTTTTTTTACCCGGAACTTTATTTAGATCCTGGTTCCTGCGGCGGAAACACACCGAGTACCGGCCCAAAGTCCCTAGTTCCTGGGTAAAGTACCAGCAGTGAAAACGAGGCTTAACGACTTATCTGTGGGGTTTTTTTTCTTTCAACAATGCAATTTTGAGCTGGTGTGACTAGGTCTGGGCAAAAAAATTTATTTTTCGATTAATTGTTTTTTTAAATGACGTCGATTCGATATCAATTCTGAAAAGCCGCGAACCGATCTTTTCCGGTATTTATTTCAGCAAACATTTAACACAAGATCTGATTAATGTGAATCTTATCATTTGTCTTCTCCACTAGATGTCACCCTCTTATTTACCTTACCTTGCACGATGTTACAACAGAAAGCCTGTCATTCAATTCAGTGCTTATAGCGGTGATACTGTTAACAAGAACAAAGCAATATGCGTGATATGCCATGCTCAGGTGAAATGCTATAGTAATACTACAAATCTGCAGAAGCATTTGACACTAGGGCTGTGCAATTAATCGAAATCGAATCGAAATCGTGATTTGAGACGTTGCGATTTCCTAATTGCAAAGCCTGCGATATGGAAGCGATATTACTCTGTTCCAGAGCATATGCATGACTGCCAGCCTTGAGTTGCAGTCTTACTAACCAATAGAGTGAGCGCACCTCCGTTCTCCCCAATCAGCACTGTTCTAGCCAACTGCGTAAACACCCACCATTTAAAAAAAAAAAAAAAAAAAGCGTGAGAGAGACAGAGTGGGATTATGGCGTCTACTGGGTAAAATCGATAGTTAGGCAAATTAAAACTAAAGAAAAACGTATGCAACTTAAGCTTCGAAATGGCAGACAATGAACAAAAAAGGTAATCTGCAAGAGCTGCGTCACAGCGCATATCAAAAGCTCCCGTATCGGTTCTGTTTTCAGTACTGGAGAATAAAAGATACATTCTTAGATGTTTTTGTTAGTACGTGAACGTTATCTTACACATTTTATCTCCCCAACAGATTAATTTGAAATAAGTTTATAATGCATGTTGGCTATTCCCAATTCAGAAGAGCGCACACACAGCCTGTGTCTGTGAATGCTTCTCATACTCGCTCCTCTCTGCCCCACGCTGCGCGAATCCCGCGTCACGGACGAGCCGTTCATGCTTGCCACACTCACGCAACCTCTCTCGTAATGCTCGTTTATACTCGCACCCGGCTCCGCACCGCAAGTCTCCACGAGCGCATCTGGCAGTATGGATGAGGCTTGACGC